TAATGCATTCTCAAAAACAAACAAACAAAAAAAAAGCAAACCCACACCAACTGATTAGTTACTTTTCCCTAACTGCTGAGGCCAGTCAAGATGCAGTGTAAGGAGTGAAGGACTTATTCTGGCTTGCCGTTCAACGGGATCCAGTCCTTTGTGGTGGGCAAGCCGTGGAGACAGGCGTGTCAGGCAGCGATCACATTGCATTTGCAATCGGAAGCAGAGGGCAGATGCTCAGCTCATGTCATCCTTTGTGCTCTGAGACTCCATCGCTGTGAGCGGGGCTGCTCACTGATGGGTCTCCTCACATGAGTTAGCACACTGTGGATTCAGCCTCACACACATGCCCAGAAGTATGTCTCCTAGGTGATTCTTAGCCAGTGAGGGTGACAGTCAATAGTAGCCATCTGTCAAACAGGTGAGAAAAATTATTTAAAAAAAAAACTTAATTTAATTAGAGATTTGTAAAATGTAACCAATTTCTTCTCATTGCCTATGCTTTATTAATTTTTTATTTCAATACTCAGCAGATCTGAATGACTTTTGTTTTTATTGGGACCATCAAATTGTAGCTGCCCAATTAGGCACAGCAGTTTTGACTGCCCTAAATTTAACAAAGGGTCTTATCAGCTCCCAGGTGAGGCATTTCTATAAACAAACCACACCATCTAGTTTCTTTTCAGGGGAAATGAACAGGCAGTGTTTTTTTCGGAAATCCTTTTGTAAAAGCCCCTAGGTATTGGCAGCTTTGGGGTTGATGGTAGCCAAACCCAAAGCCCACAGGAAACAGAATCCAGGAAATCCTTCTGCTCATCCCTTCTCAGGGCTGTAAACTTCCAGCCAGTGTCCTTCAGTGTGGTCCTTTGACTCCTACATATTTTCACCTTTAGACATTTTACACAATAGACAGCAAACTCTCCCCACCCCCAAGCATTTGTGGTTGTCTGAAAGAATGTCTATTTGTGAATAGCACCCATGGTCTAACATTAAGCCAAGACTGTAACTTTGTGACCCCCTGAACCTTGCTCTCTCAATATATAAAACAATATACAATATACATTATGTTTATAGACAGAATGTGTGTTTTATCTTTACAGGAATCAAGTAGATGAATATGTAATAGCATTATAAATATTAATTTCTACAGCAACTTAACTTTAGTTATGAGTCCTCAGTTCAGAAAAAAATTATGCAAAGTATACATGCAATGATATTAAAATTCTGCACATCCTTTCAGGGGGCTCTCTGGCATCAGCTAACTCCATTGCACTTTATAAAAACTATTCTTTGTGTAGACACTCTTAAATTCCAGCTCAGTAATGTTCATTAGGACGTGCCAGACCTTTCCAAATTATTGTTTTTAGGACACTCTTGGTGGAGTAGAGAAATCTGTGATTACAAATGAAGACTAGTTGTCACCATAAAATAGTTTCCCCCTCCTAAGTTGTCTTTTATAATAGACAGAGTACAGGAAGTGATTCCATAAGAAAGAGAGGGGACCGTGATGGTTAAGCTTTGTTATCAGCTTGACTGGTTTTAGAATCACCCAAGAAACACACCTCTGGGCATGTCTGTGATGGTGCTTCCAGAGATATTCCCTTGAGGACCAAAGGCCAAGCCTGAGTGTGGGCAGCATGGTCCATTGGGCTGTGGTTTGTCCAATCAAAGGGAGAAAAGCAGAAAGCAAGTTGATACAATGTGACCATCTGTTTCCCATCCTCGGCCAGAAATTCCCTGCTGTGATGGACTGTACTCTAACACTGTGAGCCCAAACAAAACCTTCCCTCCCTAAGTTGCTGCTGTGATGGACTGTGATCTAACACTGTGAGCCCAAACAAAACCTTCCCGCCCTAAGTTGCTGCTGCCCGGTATTTTGTCACAGTAACTAGAAAACTGATGAATACATGGAAGATTATGTATTGAGCAAGTGTTATGTACCAGGCGCCCTGATCAACCTCTTCCGTATGTGATCTCACTGAGTCCTAGAAATGATGCTTATGATGGTGGTGCTTCAATTTTCAGCTGTACAACTGGAACGTTGAGCCAATCGTACGGAATCTGTGAAATGTTAGAGCAGACTTTCTTTGCTATTACCTGGCTTCTGCAGGCAATACTGATTTCTGCTTGTGAATCCTGAGGGTTGCACGGGAGGACAGCCTTGGCCTGAGAGAAGGAGTCTGTGCATACAGACAGCAGCTGGTAAATGTTCTTAGGGGAAGTGACAAGATACAGTGTCCTTGACTGGAGTGGCTGCCACAGTTCACTCCTTCCCCTTAACGGAGTGAGCTGAAAACAAAGAGGAGGAAAAGAAGCAAGGCCTCTTATTAGACAAGTATGACAGTCACTTCCTTCTTCTGGTCAGCGTGAAAACTCTCCCTTTGAAGTATCCGTTGTCTTTAGAGCATGGTACAGGGCCCTGCGAACATAATCACTGTGTTTATGAAGTACTGTGTGAATACTGTCAGCAATATGGGCCCCAGGTCAGAACAAGGAAAAGTTAATAGCATTATATAGTATTATTTTGCTATGGAGTTTAGGTGAGTAGCTGAAAGTCTGTATTAATAGAATTACCAGATTTCCCCTTCCTCTAAGATGTAGGATTTTATTTTCCCTTTTCTTGAGTGTGTGTTTGTGTCTGTTTCACCCTTGTTTGTGCATGTGAAGGCCGTAGGTCTACACTTCTATTGCTGTATACGTTTTTAAAAAAGATAGAATTTCTTGTTGAACCCAGAACTCACTGAATGACTAGGTTGGCTAGCCAGAGGACCCTGGAATTCCCCTGTCTCCACCTCTCGGCACTGGAATTACAGACACTTGTCCATCTTCCTACGTGGGTGCTGAGTATCTGCAGTCAGGCCTTCACCCTGTGCACATCAGCTCCTCATCCCAGAACATTTTAATTTTCTAGGGATACAGGCAGGTGAGTCGGGTCAGGGTATGAAAGAGCGAGCCTGCGATCTTATCCTGACAATCTGAGTTTGATTCCCGGAGCCCAAGGTCGAGGGGAAGCAGTGACCCTGAAAGCTGTCCCTGATCGCAGGCATGCCGTGGCCTGTCTGTTGCCCACGGACACTAACAATTTCTTTAAAGATGCTGTTCTTAAATTGCTCCCCATGGTAGTAGAAAGTCTGCTGGGACACTACCGTGTGATCCTTAGTGGGTGGAAGACAGCATCGGGAATGAGGCTTCTTGGTGAAGGACCAAACGGAAAATCCACCCCCTCATTGGGAATGTGAAATAAGCCCATTTATATCAAACTCATGAATTTTCATCACTAATGAAACACCAGAGGTCAATAGGCAACAAAAATTATACACATCCTTTCTTGTGGTCTGTATCAAAGAACCTAGTCAAATAAATCATGAAGAAAGAAATTATACTTTTTAAATTCCCAGGGCCTTCATTTTGTGATGAGTGTATTAGGTTGGGGCACTTGCCTTTTTTTTTTTTTTTTTAAAGGCATTTTTATGAGAGAGACTTGGAGGAAGATGAAGTGGGTGTGGGCATGCTTGGTAGTCTAAAGAGAATGTATCCGGCTGTTGTGGAATGTTGGGGAAAGTGTACTTACACACAACAAACGCCATGACTATGTTCTGCATGTAAGGCATGAGGTCAGGGTAACAGGCATAGCCCTATTTTCTGCTGTCACACACCATAGTCACCCACAGAGTTTCTGGGAAGGGTCTGAGAGTTGTCATGTCTAGGAGGTCCCAGGTGCTGCTGCTGCTGCTCTAATAACACTATCTATCCTGCAGGTGGCTTTTCCAGGGTGTATCGGCCGGTCTAACCAAGTGAGGGGTGACAGCTGCTGGCGCCTCCAAAACAATCCTCTTCGGTTTAACTGATGTGGCATTGCAAGTGCTTCCCAGTAACTCTACCCCTGCTCTCAACTCTGCCAGCTGGAATGTCGCTCGATACCCCTAATCCCCAGACACAAACCATTTACCCCAAGGAAAAGAACAGAGAGGGAGGGGTTCACTTGGCAGACTAGATTGTTATGTTCCATGGCCTTTTTAATTTATTCTGCTCTCCAGCTCCCATGTTTACATTTTTAAAAAGTGATAAAACTTATGTGTAAGTCTTGATGAGTTATATACATGTATACACATTTACACTAGGTACAGCCATTTTGCTACATTGTACATCAAACATAGGGCACTTCCCTTCAAAGATTCTTCTCAAGCTAGTGCCTTCCTTCCCAAAGGAGCACTCACTCTGCGCCAGCTGCCTTTGGATAAGCTGTGTCTGACTTTGAACTCGGTGTAAGTGGGGCATAGAGACTATGCTCTCCGCTCTCCGATGCTCTCCCTCAACATGACCATGAGCACCATCAGTAGAGTTTCCATGGTGCTTCTGTCATTTTGACAGACTGTCATTTGACAGTCGTAAACCATCCCACGTGTGACACGTCCATCATTCCATATTGAGTCCCTCCCACTTTTCAAATGCTTAAGTTTGATAATAACAAAATTGGTGCGGTGCTTACCGTGGACTAGGCTGGTGATAAGTACAGCATGCCACTAGATGCTTTCAGGAACATGACATCGGTACTGCCGTTAATGTGTTTTACAGAAGGCTTGGTAGCCTAGGCAAAGACTACCTCCTTAGGGAACGAGCCTCTGTATATCCGGGATTACTTAGATCTGGTTTATTGAGGTAGAAAAGATGGCCCTAACTATGGGTGCTACTGTTCCAAGAAATGGAGTTCTGGGCCAAATAAAAAGGACAAGGTAAGCTGAATATGCATTCACCTCTCTGCTTTCTGAACTTGGTTGCAAGATGGTCAGCTTCCACTCCATTCTGGCTTGTAGTCGCTCAAACTATGGGCCAAAATAAACCTTTCCTTTCTTGAGAGGTTAACAAAAGTTCCTAGAAGATACTAGGAGGTCTTCAAACACCTAATAGACTAAAGTTTAACATCCAGTGTCCATTCAAAAAGTTAATTCTTTTCAGGGGAAAAAAATGTCTAATTTCAGTTATTTGTCGTGTTTACATCTTATCTGCAGGTGATTTGGGTCCTCCTCCTTCTACTGTGGTCAACCAAAATGAAACTTTTGCCAAAGTTATTTTTAAGCCTACCGTAGTCCAACAAGCTAAGATTGCCCAGAATGGAATTTTGGGAGATTTCATCATTCGATATGATGTCAAGAGAGAACAGAACATCGGTGACATCCAGGTAATGGCTCCCCTGATGCTGCTACATATGAAGCTCGATCCTTTCTGTTCAGCTCAGAACTGTGCATTCCAATACTTAGATCTTTCTGGTTCTTAGTAAAATGATTTAAACCCAAAATATGTCTTCAAAGAGACCAGTGACGCTCCCTGGTCTGCCAAGGGTACCTATTTCGTGCTTCAGTAACCTGGACAGCAAATGAAATCTATAATATAATTTTCCCTGTGGTGTTTTAGATGAGGTTAGAATTTTACCACTTCTTCAACTTTAATTAAAAGAGACTGTTCCATAGCTTATTTCCCTTTAGGTTGTATTGCTCCAGAGACAAGGTGGGAATATTAAAATGTGTGGCTGTGCACAGAGAATGCAGACAACCTTGCTATCTTACCGTGTAAGATGCTTAGTAAAAACAGAGAACAAAAGAAGCAGGATTCTCGGGAAGGAAGGTCAGAGGAAGATGCATGATTAGAGTTGATGGCTTGTCATGGTCTGTGTATCTATGTACCCACGTAGGCATTTATATTAGTTTTAAGGTAATGCAGATTGAACGTGCACCTTATATACACATGCTGGACAAGCATTCCGTCACTGAGCTACCCCTCCATTCCATGATGAATATATCTAAAAGAGCTGACTCTACTTGACTATATTAATAAACACCTACTTCACTTGGAGGGATCAAGACAGTATAATTTGTTCCTGTGTGGAATGTAACCCCAGACTGTTTCACGCCAACTTGTGTTCTAGAAGTTCCAGAGGCTGTTCTAGTCACCTCCTTCCTTTTTCTAAATTCTACTTTAGTTACTTTATTTTTCTCTCCACCAGGTTCTAAATGGTTACTTCGTGCACTACTTTGCTCCTAAAAACCTCCCTCCTTTACCCAAGAATGTGATTTTCGTGCTTGACATCAGTGCCTCCATGGTGGGAGCGAAACTCCAGCAGGTGAGTGGGGGCCACTTGCCCATTGATTGCTGCTCATGCTTTTGCCTGGGACAGTGATCTGCCTTGTGAATGACATTCAGTTGATACCAAATGTTCATTTTACCACCCATATACTCCTACTTATGGACATCCTCAAGCTGACTCCTGTAAGCCATTGGTAGAATCTATGGATTTAAGAAAACAGAGGGACTGGCTAGAGAAGCACTGGCAGAGAGAATAATGTGAGTGAAACTAGAACATACTGAAAGGGATGCTCAACAGTACAGTCAGCCCACCATGCTGAGACACTTTGGAACACAAATAGGACATTGAGGCAGAAGGAACACAAGTTTCAGGCTAGCCTGTAGTACATAGCAAGTTTCAGAAAAGTTTCTGGACAGTATGGGCTATGTAGTGACACCTGGTTCAAAACAAGGCAAAACTAAACAAAACAGTACAGTATTAACAAAAATTGTGTCCAGTGAGGATTCCTTGTGAACAATGGAATCAAGCCCTTAGAAGTACCTTTGGCATATTCTCAGGTCTCAAAAATTCAGGAGCAGTTCTTACAAAAATCTGCACCCCCACCAACACACACAATTCCAAGCTCAAAGGGGTCATTGGAGGACATTTACATTGTTTGTTGGTTGACTTCTATTGTTGCTGCTGAAAGTCAGTAAAATTTTAACTTTGTGTTCTCTTCACGGAAGTACGTATTGGTGTCTGATTTTGTGATTTTTCTCATTTAGTTTGGCTTTCTATAGCTTTAGAGTGGTGGATTCTTTTATATTCTTCCTGAGAAGTTTGCCTTTCATACTTTATGAGGCTGTGGATTCATGGATGTGATGATCAGCTTTCATTGTCAACTGGTCACAATCTAGACTCAGCTGCGAAGAGAGCCATAGTCAGGGCCCATCTGGATGGGGTTGCCCTGTGGCATGTCTGGGGAATCTTTACTGTGTTAACTGAGCTGAGAATACTCCCTCCTCACTGTGGGCGGCATCATCCCCTAGGGGACTCTGGACTGTTTAAAAGTGGAGAAGGGTAGCTGAGCATGTATATGCATTCATTCCTAGAAGCACTGTATTGATTTATAACAGTAAACCTTTTCTAGATGAACCAAGGAGCTAAGTAAAAATAATCACTGAGCTTCATTTAAAGCTAGGAAAAAAATAGGTTCATTATTAACTAGTTTTGTAGCCAAGAGCAAGAGATAAAAGTAATTGCAAAGAATAAAAGCAATTATTTCAGGTAAAAAAAATAAACTTCTGCTACAAATTAAAAGCAAAAACAATAAATGACTGGAAAGCCATAAGCAGGAAAAAACATAACTTTGTCATCCATAAACAATGAACTATTCCAGATCAACAGGAAATAAGCCTGCATAAGAAAGTAAACAAAGAATGTAAGACAGTCCATGAGAGGAAAAATATCACTAAGGTTATGGAAAAGGCAGGCAACTGTATTAACAACAGCAACAGCAACAAGCTATTGACGGGATTTGTAGAGTGCTTGACACTTAGCATCCATGAAGTCCTGGTTCTGTCTCCAACAGGGCACAAATAGGATGTAGTGGTACACTCCTGTCATCCTAGTGCTCAGGAGGTGGAGGCAGGAGGATCAGAAGTTCAAGGTTATCCTTCAGTACAGAGCAGGTTGTATGCTGCCTGGGATATATGAGAGATTATTTAAAACACTCACACTCTCACACACACATAAAGAAAACAACATAAAAATACTATTTTTAATCGCCACAGTTTTAAACTATAAAATTTATAAATTATTTATAAGGACACATTGACTTATATGCAGTTTTATGCATTTTTCAGTATAAATATTCAATATTAGTATCTGCAAGTATAAAGTTTGCATTACTTCTCAATAGAGGATTAAGAAGTACCAAAGTTGGAAAATGCTCAGCCAGGCCACTGTTACTACCCTGTTCATGCCAAGACCATTCATTCCCTGAGGCTGAAACAACTCAACGGGCTCATCTTCGGGTGCCTGAGTGACTCCAAGACCAGTCTGTTTCAGGACACAAGGTCCTCCACTTCTGACAAGATGGTGGTCAAGGATTTTTCTTACCTATAAGCAGGCTTGCTGTCCTCATGTGGTCAAGCTGAGTGAGGCTCAGGGTTATATACCACAACCCTGTCTAAGAAACAAACAAACAAAAAAAAAGCAGTGAAAGGAGAGAAAAGAAAGAAAGAAATCCTGCCAAATAACCTTCAGAAAAGCAAATATTTTCGATGCAGGGTCTCTCATTGAACTTGGAGTTCTCTGTTTGCCTAGACTGGCTGTGGAGGATCTTTCTGTCTCTGCCTGCCCAGTGGTAGGATTACATACATATGCTGCCATGTGCTATTTGTGCTGGGGATGAAATTTAGGTTCTTATATTTGCATGGTAAGCCCTTTATAGGCCGGACTGTCTCTCCAGCCACTTGAAGGCCTTTTAAAAGTGTAATAAGGCACACATTCAACTTGATTTTATTATCCTAAGTGTGCTACATGAATTATATAACATGGAAGTGTTTAGTATTTATAACCATTTCACTACCATCCTGTTTAACTGATGAAAGCTGAGCGTTTGCACAGGAACATAACCTGCACAGTGAGTGAGGGTTCAGGCTTTTGTGCTGTGAAGCCCGTGAAGCAAACCACAAAACTGTCACACCGTTATGCAGGCGACAATGTACAGCAGAGAGAGGTGTAAACGGGTACAAGGTCAGTGCTATTTCTTAGTTTAATTGAGAAGGCTTAATTGAGAAGGCTGCATTCTGGAAGGCATGTGTTTCCTTGTTTTATGAAAGAGCAATCCAATGACTGATGTGAGACCATTGCTATTCTTTCTTCTGTCATTTCTGGACATTAAAACCTCATTCCTTGCTAGTCACTGTCGGTTTGGCATGCACGCCGCTGGCTTCTAAGCAACAGCGTGGCCTCTTTCCAGGAGAACCACCCTGGAACAGCCAAACACATGTCTGAGCAATTTGCAAAGCCCCTTGCTGCCTTGAGTGGTTTTGCAAACTCCCATTTTAGCAATCCATAGTTTCTCCAAGGCCACAGGACTGGGTGAAAAGCTCAGTTGGCTCATGGTAGAGTTTCATAGACGGTGCTGTATAACTGGTGAAAAAGACAATTGTTGCAAGCATAAGGCTTTCATATTGTGTCAACAGGCTTGGCAATATGAGACATTTGTCACAGGTCCACTTGGATGTTGTTACGAATCATTCTCCATGCATTTGGCTTCTCAAAACTTTGACAGGCTTGGACAATTTTACTGTTCTTCTCATAGGACTGGGAGTATAGCTGGTATTTATTAATTACTCAAGGACTGGACATACTCAGTAATTACTCAAGGGCTCAGTTGATAAAGGCAGTGGCCATGTAATCCTGATGACCTGAATTTGCCCTCCAAGGACTGGCCTCTGACCTCTACACCTGCACCATGTGTACATGATGGTTTGTATGAACGCAACACCCACACACGTGCACATGCACACATACACACACACATAAAGTGTTTACAATTATAAAAAAAAACTTACTCAAACATTGGTTAATAATGAACTGTAAAGATAAAGATGAGGAGACAGCGCTGTCAGCCAAGCGCCTGCCATGCAGGAATGAAAGCCTGGATTTGGATTCCCAGCATCCATGTAAAGGAGGCTGGGTCCAGTGGCACTTCCCCTTACTCTCACTACCAGGGAGGCAGAGACAGGAGATCCCTATGGGTTACTGGCAGACAGTCTAGCAGGACTGGGGAGCTCCAGGTTCAGTGAAAAGGCCGTCTCAGAAAAATGAAGAAGACATGTGATGCTCTGGCCTCCACACACATGTGAGCACAGGCATGAATACACACTGTCCCTACACAAACTGTAAGGTTCCTTTTAACTGAAAACAAATGCATTCTCAGTAGGGGGCTTGTCTGTAATGGGGAACCCCTAAACCTATATGCATCTGGAATTTTCTGGTTCTTTTCCTAATCCAGTGGTAATGTGCATCTAGATGCTAGGGTTTCCCAGTTTAGGAGCAGTAGCAATGCCTCCCTCTGGTAGCTGGCACACACTTGGCTATTTGTCTCCCGTGTGGTTTTGCTGATGGCTGTGTTGAGAGGTGGCTCTGGCATTGGGTGAGAAAGACTCTGCTTCTCAGCCCACACTTGTACAGTGTCAGCTGAAGAGGCTGACAGGAAGAGGCAATGTGACCTGGGCACTTGTCTTTCTTCTGCCTCTTGACCAACACAGCTAAGGCATGAGTGTCTGCAAACATGCTTGTCCTGGGGAACATTAGTGATGACACCATGAGTGTCATCACTACTAAATGCTTTCTTTTTTTTTTTCTGGACTGGCAAGATGGCTTAGTGGGTGAAGAAACTTGCTTTCATGCCTGATGAACTGAGTTCAATTCTTGAGACCTACACGGAGGAAAAGAGTTTGTTTCTAAGAGCTGTTCTGGGACTCCCTTCCCTCTCCCACACACACACATATTCACACAGATAAATAAATGTAATTTAAATAAATATATTTTTTCTTGATCAAAGCCCACAGTTTTTTCTCTAATTTGTACAGTTATTATTATTATTATTTTAACCTTTTATCTTGGTCTGTATGAGAGAGAGAGATAGAGATGGACAGACACAGGCAGACAGACAGAAAGAGACAGACACACACACAGAGAAGGAGCAAGTGCAGGTGTTATGCGGCATGCGTGGAAATCAGCTTTGACTGTTGGTCCTTCCCTTCTACTTCGTTAGAGATGCTGATGCTTATTGTTCCATCACTACGTAGGCCAGACTAGCTGACTGTGAGCTTCCAGGAATGCTCTTGTCTACAACTCACACCTCACCACGGGAACACTGGCCTTACAGTGGCTCACTCCTTCATCTGGCTTTGTAATAGGTTCTGGGTATCTGAACTCAAATCTGCATGCTCCTGCCACAAGTGCTTTATCCACTGAGCCATCTGTCCAGCCCTCTGATTGCTATCTCTCTCTTATCTGATCTATATGATCTGATCTAT